CTCAAGATGGAACTTTGTATCCATTCACTGATTGTTATAATATACCGCAAAATTCACCTGAGCTTCGTAGACTGGTCTTCCCTGGCTGAGGTCTAGTGTGATTGAGGCAAAAATAAAAGCTAAAGTTATTGAGCTAGATAGCTAACGTTAGCCAACTTTTGGCTAGCTCTAATAGTAATGGTACATCAACTGATGAAAACTAGCCAAGTTAATTTACTTCTGTTGAAACGGGACAAAAAGGCTACAAAACATTCAGGTCTAGTGTGATTTAGGCAAAATAATAGCTAAAGTTATTGAGCTAGATAGCTAACGTTAGCCAACTTTTGGCTAGCTCTAATAGTAATGGTACATCAACTGATGAAAACTAGCCAAGTTAATTTACTTCTGTTGAAACGGGACAAAAAGGCTACAAAACATTTTATACATACAACAGCTGTTAGAGACAGCTACCTGACAGATAGCTAGAGACTAGAGCTGAACTGGCTGTGCTAGCTACTAGCTAGCTAGTTCATTCTCTTCAGATAGTACTTCATTCAAGGTCGGATGAATTATTACTGTAGCTAACATTACATGTCAGTTACACTACTAGCGCAGCACTGGGAATACATTTATTTTCTTTCTGTTAGTCAAACAGCAGTTACCTTGCCAGCTACATCAGTCAAATAAAGAGTAGCCAGTTTCTGCTCTGCTTGCTTTTACAACTCTGAGAAAAAGCGCAACACACACAGAGACAGCAGGTGCAGACAGCAGCACCGTACCTGTCCGCACGCTCTGTGGTGTCCACGTGGTCCTAAATCCAGCTGGCTGAAATTGCCAAACAGCCTACCCAACCGCTCTGAGGCGTCCGCATGGTCCTAAAGCACACTGATGCTCCTTTTAGTATCACAGTGCAATGATAAAACCAGGGGGGACAAAATGCAATTTTAGAATGTGTGTGGGGGGGGGGTCATGTCCCCCCTGTCCCCAGTGAAAGTTGCGCCCCTGTATTGCAGTAAATTAATTGCTGGTAAGTACTCCCCGTGCCGGCAGTGAGCGTTTAATTAGGCTGAATTGATGGGGCTTTTGTTTTGGTACAGGCAGAGTTTAATGAAGGGGATTGCTGCTCTGAACTCACTAAACAATTAACAGTGAACAACAGTTTATCCTGCACCATGCAGATATCGTGGGTTTCTGTCTGTGTGTTTGTGCTCTTGGATGTGTGCCTTGTGTGAGTGCTGAGTACCCACTGTACTATTGCATTCCAAACTTTGAGATTGAAAGGTGTAATATAGAGATCTAGAGGTGTGTGTATGTATGTGTTCAAGTTTCAAGTTTTAATGTAAAATGCACAAGTATAGTGAAATGCCTTTCTTGCAAACTCAAAACCCAACAATGCAATTTTTTATTTATTTTTATTTCACCTTTATTTAACCAGGTAAACCAGTTGAGAACAGGTTCTCATTTACAACTGCGACCTGGCCAAGATAAAGCAAAGTAGTGCAATAAAAACAACACAGAGTTACATATGGGGTAAAAAAAACATAAAGTCAGAAATACAACAGAAAATATATATACAGTGTGTGCAAATGTAGCAAGTTATGGAGGTAAGGCAATAAATAGGCTATAGTGCAGAATAATTACAATAGTATTAACACTGGAATGCTAGATGTGCAAGAGATTATGTGCAAATAGAGATACTGGGGTGCAAAAGAGCAAAATAAATAACAATATAGGGATGAGGTAGTTGGGTGGGCTAATTTCAGATGGGCTGTGTACAGGTGCAGTGATCGGTAAGGTGCTCTGACAACTGATGCTTAAAGTTATTGAGGGAGATAAGAGTCTCCAGCTTCAGAGATTTTTGCAATTCGTTCCAGTCATTGGCAGCAGAGAACTGGAAGGAATGGCGGCCAAAGGAGGTGTTGACTTTGGGAATGACCAGTGAGATATACCTGCTGGAGCGCAGACTACGGGTGGGTGCTGCTATGGTGACCAATGAGCTAAGATAAGGCGGGGATTTGCCTAGCAGTGATTTATAGATGGCCTGGAGCCAGTGGGTTTGACGACGGACATGTAGTGAGGACCAGCCAACAAGAGCGTACAGGTCACAGTGGTGGGTAGTGTATGGGGCTTTGGAGACAAAACGGATGGCACTGTGATAGACTACATCCAATTTGCTGAGTAGAGTGTTGGAGGCTATTTTGTAAATGACATCGCCGAAGTCAAGGATCGGTAGGATAGTCAGTTTTACGAGGGCATGTTTGGCAGCATGAGTGAAGGAGGCTTTGTTGCGAAATAGGAAGCCGATTCTAGATTTAACTTTGGATTGGAGATTCTTTATGTGAGTCTGGAAGTTGAGTTTACAGTCTAACCAGACACCTAGATATTTGTAGTTGTCCACATACTCTAGGTCCGACCCGTCGAGAGTGGTGATTCTAGTCGGGTGGGCGGGTGCTAGCAGCGTTCGATTGAAAAGCATGCATTTAGTTTTACTAGTGTTTAAGAGCAGTTGAAGGCTACTGAAGGATTGTTGTATGGCATTGAAGCTCGTTTGGAGGTTTGTTAACACAGTGTCCAATGAAGGGCCAGATGTATACAAAATGGTGTCGTCTGCGTAGAGGTGGATCTGAGAGTCACCAGCAGCAAGAGCGACATCATTGATATACACGGAGAAAAGTGTCGGCCCAAGAATTGAACCCTGTGGCACCCCCATAGAGACTGCCATAGGTCCAGACAACAGGCCCTCCGATTTGACACACTGAACTCTATCTGAGAAGTAGTTGGTGAACCAGGCGAGGCAGTCATTTGAGAAACCAAGGCTATTTAGTCTGCCAATAAGAATGCGGTGGTTGACAGAGTCGAAAGCCTTGGCCAGGTCGATGAAGACGGCTGCACAGTACTGTCTATTATCAATCGCGGTTATAATATCGTTTAGGACCTTGAGCGTGGCTGAAGTGCACCCGTGACCAGCTCGGAAACCGGATTGCATAGCGGAGAAGGTACGGTGGTATTCGAAATGGTCGATGATCTGTTTGTTAACTTGGCTTTCGAATACTTTCGAAAGGCAGGGCAGGATGGATATAGGTCTGTAGCAGTTTGGATCTAGAGTGTCACCCCCTTTGAAGAGGGGGATGACCGCGGCAGCTTTCCAATCTCTGGGGATCTCAGACGTTATGAAAGAGAGGTTGAACAGACTAGTAATAGGGGTTGCGACAATTTCGGCGGCTAGTTTTAGAAAGAAAGGGTCCAAATTGTCTAGCCCAGCTGATTTGTAGGAGTCCAGATTTTGCAGCGCTTTCAAAACATCAGCTGTCTGAATTTGTGTGAAGGAGAAGCGGGGGGGGGGCATGGGCAAGTTGCAGCAGAGGGTGCAGAGTTGGTGGCCGGGTTAGTGGTAGCCAGATGGAAAGCATGGCCAGCTGTAGCAAAATGCTTGTTGAAATTCTCGATTATTGTAGATTTATCGGTGGTGATAGTGTTTCCTAGCCTCAGTGCAGTGGGCAGCTGGGAGGAAGTGCTCTTATTCTCCATGGACTTTACAGTGTCCCAAAACTTTTTGGAGTTAGTGCTACAGGAAGCAAATTTCTGTTTGAAAAAGTTAGCCTTTGCTTTCCTGACTGCTTGTGTATATTGGTTCCTAACTTCCCTGAAAAGTTGCATATCGCGGGGGCTATTTGATGCTAATGCTGTACGCCACAGGATGTTTTTGTGCTGGTCAAGGGCAGTCAAGTCTGAGGAGAACCAGGGGCTATATCGGTTCTTAGTTCTGTATTTTTTGAATGGGGCATGTTTATTTAAGATTGAGAGGAAATTACTTTTAAGGAACAACCAGGCATCCTCTACTGACGGAATGAGATCTATATCCATCCAGGATACCTGGGCCAGGTCAATTAGGAAGGCCTCCTCGCTAAAGTGTTTTAGGGAGCGTTTGACAGTGATGAGGGGTGGTCGTTTGACCGCGGACCCGTTACGGACGCAGGCAATAATCAATAGCAATGTATTTCTAGAAAATAAAACACGAGAAATAAGAATAAGAAATATGAAATACACAATAAAGTAAGTAAGTAAGCATACTATATTCAGGAAATATTTAAAAAGTCAGTTCCAATACCATATTTACATGTGCAGGGATACTGGAGTGATAGAGGTAGATATGTATGAGGGTAAGATGACTGGCAACAGGATATAAGATAAACAGAGTAGCAGCAGCTTGCATGTGAGTGGGTGTGTAGAGTCAGTATAAATGTATGTGCATATTATGTGTGAGTGAGAAAATGATAGAGTGAGTGCTTGTGTGTGTGTTGGAGTGACAGTGAAGTGTGTGTGAGTGTGGAGCCCTGTGAGTGTGCATAGAGACAATGCAAATAATGAAATATTAGTGTGTGTGTGACGAGTACCCACCTGTAGTATTGCATTCCAAACGTTGAGATTAGAAGGTAGATTTAAATAGATTTAGAATGATTGGTAGATTTAGAATGATATTGAGTTCTTTTTCCTTCCTCTGAGAGATGAAACAACTCCTACGAAATACAATTTGGACTCAACATTTGCTTTGGGATAAATAAGCAGCTGTTCACATAACCTCCCTCTCTTTCGCTGTCTCTCTCTCACTTCTTTCTCTCTGCTTTCTCTCTCTCCCCCCTCTCTCTCTTCTCTTTCTCCCCTCGTCTCTCTCTCCCCCCTCTTTCTCCCTCCCTCCCCTCTCTCTCTCTCTCTCTCTCTCTCTCTCTTTCTCTCTCTCTCTCTCTCTTTCTCTCTCTCTCAGAATGACAGTATGGTGGAGAGTAATGGGGAGGAGTCTCAGGAGAGTCTGGATGCACTGCCTGACGTCTCTCTGGTGAGCCCCGCAGTCAGACTCAGAACCACAACCTCATAAAGATGGACAGAGCAGAGGTTGGAGGGAGGGAGGGGTGGACGGAGAGGGAAAAACAACAAGGCTGGAAATAAAAGTGCGAGAAGAAGAGGAAACAACAGATATGCAGTTTGAACTCTTATAGCCTTCATCCCTTATTTCTTTCTTTCCTATGGAGGAGTCTGTTACTAAGGAGGAACTTGCTCTCTGTCTGACACCTGAGGTAAAAGCTATAATCAGAAACACACAAACACAAACAACTCAGAAGGATACCTACCACGGTTACCAGAGCAACGGTAACCAATGTCGACAGGAGGCTGTAATGTGGGACACAGAAAGCAAAGACCTGAAGAGTCTTAAAAACACCTCAACTCCATTCAGCCAGAACATATTTGTGTTGGTTTTGATTGCTTTCTCTTGCCTTTTTTTTACCATGAATCACTTCATTCATTCTCTCCCCGCTCATGTTGCTGTTTTCATTGTTAATTTCTCCGTTGGTTTTGGTTGGAGGGGAGAGCTTGTTGCCGGGGACACAGCGGATTGGGAAGGTGTAACCTGAGGTTATACAGAGACCATGTTTAGTTGTGGGGCTCAACTGAATCCTGGCCTTGAGTTGTGTTGAATTCTGAGGCGTGACAATTGGTAGTGTGTGTGTGTGGAATTATGAGATTCCAGAGATGTGCTGTAGTATATGAGTGTTTTGTGGGATGAAAGGAATGTGATCTGTTTGTTCTCCTCTTACCTTAGGATGAGGTGCACTCCATGTCCGAATCTCCCCCCACCTTCAAACCCCCACCCCCTCCAGTGCTGCAGAGGCTCCCCAGCAGACGAGACCAGGTCAAAAAACGCCCTTCCTCCGAATCCTCCTATTCTAGACTCTACTTCACCGCCCCCTCCCTTAACCCACTCAAGGACCAGTTGGGGGACCAAGGGCCCCCAGCCTCACCCAAGGTCCCCCCAAAAAATAATTCCTCTGTCCCCCATAAGAGGGACCCCTCCGTCCCCCATAAGAGGGACCCCTTCGTCCCTCATAAGAAGGAGATGGCAACTGCCAAGCTCTCCATGGTCGACAAGCACCCCATAGGCCCCTTCCCTAGAGTCCAGTCCCCTACTAGGACCACCAAACCGTCCACCCCCTCCCCATCTCTACCCCCTCCCCCTCCGCTCCCTGCTCCATCCACACCCCCTCCCCTTCCCCACAGCCCGGACAAGGCCTCCCCTGGCTCCAACAAACAGCACTTTGTCATGGTGGAGGTCCACAGGCCCAATGCAGAGTCTGACGTCAACGAGTTGCGGTTTATGCCCCAGGCACGAGGTAAGAGGCATGGAGGACAGCCGAGATTACTGGAGGGGGTAGGTTGGAGGAAAAGCTGGAGTTGGACTCCGAAAACCATGAGAACAGATTTGGACGCAAAGGATTGGTTGCACAAATAAGAGGAAGTGCATGTTTATGTGTAATCATGGGTATATGTATTTCTACCTGAGTGTGTCCCTGTGCCAGTCTCTAACCTCCTGCACCCATCCCCTCCAAGGTGCCACCCTGTCCCAGCTGTCAGACAGTGGACAGACACTGAGCGAGGACAGCGGGGTGGACATTGGCGAGTCGGGACATCTCAGCAAGGAAAGCAGTCCCCGCACACGCTCCCTACGAGACCCCCAGGGGGCAGGAGGGGACAGCACCGCCAAACCGGTGAGGAGGACACACCAGCGGGGAGAAAGACGACACAGAAAGAGAAAAGAGGGAGATGTATGGAGGGACAAATGGATGGATGGGTGGATGAATGGATAGATGGAGCTGAAAGTGAGGGATGACAAGAAGAGAAACAGACAAACAGAGCTGGGTTGTCCTCTGTCACTGCTCACTCTGTCTTGAAGCTTGTTCTCAATCCTAACTGTGATTTCTTTCTGTTTTATTCTTTCTTTATGCACATATATAGTTTTTCTTTCTTTGCTCATTGATAAATGTTTGTCCTTTCAATGATTTCTCATCCATTCAATCACTTGTCCATCTCATCTCATACTGCACTAGAGGTCTCTTGTTTCCTCTGGCTGTCTCTTTATGGTTATTGCTGATTGGTGGTTAGGTAGTGGGGAAATTGTTGATTGGTTCCAATCTTCATGGGTGGACCAATGGGTAACAAAGGTGCAAAAGAAAAGATTACATGGGTCTCCAGGGTGAATATTTGAGTAAAAAGCTGAGTTATATTATGCCCCCTTTCTTCTCTCTCTCTCTCTCTCTCTCTCTCTCTGCAGCTGGGTCTCTTGGAGCCCACCTCCACACTGGTGAGGGTGGCAAAGAGTGCCAGCACCCTGGGCATCGCCATCGAAGGGGGTGCCAACACTCGCCAGCCCCTACCACGCATCGTCACCATACAGGTGGGTCTCAAACGGCCTAGCATACCCCCTCATGCCCCTCACCCCTCTCACCTCTCCCTTTTCAAGTCATCTCCGAAATGACAGCTTGCCAGACAATCTGCACCTGTCAGAATTGATCTAGCCACGGTACTCTGTGTTCTGCAACTCTGCGCTGTCATTGGCCCGTGCCGCCTTCTCTTCCACACATGGCTACACAACACAGCCTTTGTCAGATCAGTCTGTGGTTTTACACTGGAAGAGAACTCAAACTTAGAGACCTGGCTGCCATGCCATTGTTCCTCCACTCCAGAGGACTGGCAGCTTTTCCAGGGATGATTATAACCTTTAGAACAGACTCCATCACAGGGCTCTGACGCTCAGAGGGCCTGAGACAGTGAGACAATGCCAGGCAATTATAAATGCGGCATGTTCCGTGTTTTAATGGTATGCTTGTGAAAAACCACTGCAAAGAGGGAGGGGTTTACACTTAAATATTACAGTAGCCATAGCAACAGGGTCAAAGATCAACCCTGTGATGTCGTGACTAAGGTAAGATGTCCGTGGGTGTACTACTAGAGGGTGGCTAGTTCAAGTCCAGCTCAGGTAAATATCGCCTTTTACCCTTGCCAGGTGCTTGACATGAATGTCTAACTGTAAGAGTACATCAAAAATGTTTTTTTGGGTTCCAAGCACCCTTTCATTTGTTTAATCAAGAGGATAAGAGTTGACCATGTTCTCTCCCTTTACCTGAAAGAGTACATCCACTGAGAGCAGTGACTGTTATGTGAAATAAAGGGGTTGTCACTTTGGCTGAAGGCCACATCTAAGTAAGAACTGAGGGTAATAACACCGTACCTTGCTGTAGCTCTGCTCTGCTCAGGTCTGTCTGTGTCTCTTTTGATTAGCCTAAAGAGTGAGGAGAGAGGAGGGCTGGGGAGGGAGCTGTGCTGTACTGTGGAGTTCAGAGAACCACTGAAAGCCCCCCGCTCAAAAGATGCTTTGGTGAGAGACTAATAAAAAATAATAGAGCCGCTGATTGCGAGGGGAGCGACAAAGGCACTGGCTGGGAAATCAGCATATTCAAAATCAAAGAGAGCAAGGCGGAGAGGGAGAGAGGGAACGAGGGAGGGAGGGGAGAGAGATATACAGAGAGAGATGGAAGAGAAGATGGTACACTGGGTTAACAATAAAGGGGATTCGACTGAGAAAGGGTGCAGAGAAGGGGAGGTAGGGGAGGAAGAGAGAGAGAGGGAGGCAAGCGAGCGAATGACAGACAGGCATGAGAGGTTTTAATTCCATTGCCATAGCGCTCCTCATCAACGGCTGGAAATGCACAGACAAAAGGCATGAGCCATGAGATACGCGCCTTTCTCTCTTATGTCTCATCCCCCTTCCTCTTTATTCATCTGTTTTCTCTTTCCGCTATCTTAGGAGAGACGGACAAGGTATCCGAGCACGCTCGCCAACCAGGTTGATTTTCATATCAATGTAGCGTTGCCACGTACCCCTGCCATGACATCACAGTGTCCCCAATCAGTCACAGGGGATAGGGACTCGTCAGCATCCTAATTGGTTGGGGGGTTGGATGGTCCTGGCCCAATCACAACATCTCCCATTCCACTGTACGTTCCACTGTACCTCTAATAGCTGTCTTACAGTGCATTCGGAAAGTACTCAGACCCCTTGACTTTTTACACATTTTGTTACGTTACAGTCTTATTCTAAAATTGATTAAATAAATACAAATTCTCAGTAATCTACACACAATACCCCATAATGACAAAGCGAAAACTGTTTTTTCAGACCATTTGCTATGAGACTCGAAATTGAGCTCAGATGCATCCTGTTTCCATTGATCATCCTTGAGATGTTTCCACAACTTGATTGGAGTCCACCTGTGGTAAATTCAATTGATTGGACATGATTTGGAAAGGCACACACCTGTCTATATAAGGTCCCACAGTTGACAGTGCATATCAGAGAAAAAAACAAGCCATGAGGTTGAAGGAATTGTCCGTAGAGCTCCAAGACAGGATTGTGTTGAGGCACAGATCTGGGGAAGGGTACCAAAAAATGTCTGCAGCATTGAAGGTCCCCAAGAACATAGTAGCCTCCATCATTCTTAAATGGAAGAAGTTTGGAACCACCAAGACTCTTCCTAGAGCTGGCCGCCCGGCCAAACTGAGCAATCGGGGGAGAAGGGCCTTGGTCAGGGAGGTGACCAAGAACCTGATGGTCACTCTGACAGAGCTCTAGAGTTCCTTTGTGGAGATGGGAGAAACTTCCAGAAGGACAACCATCTATGCAGCACTCCACCAATCAGGCCTTTATGGTAGAGTGACCAGACGGAAGCCACTCCTCAGTAAAAGGCACATGACAGCCCGCTTGGAGTTTGCCAAAAGGCACCTAAAGACTCTCAGACTATGAGAAACAAGATTCTCTGGTCTGATGAAACCAAGATTGAACTCTTTCGGCTGAATGCTAAGCGTCACGTCTGGAGGAAACCTGGCACCATCCCTACGGTGAAGCATGGTGGTGGCAGCATCATGCTGTGGGGATGTTTTTCAGCAGCAGGGACTGGGAGAGTAGTCAGGATCGAGGAAAAGATTAACGGAGAAAAGTACAGAGAGATCCTTGATGAAAACCTGCTCCAGAGTGCTCAGGACCTCAGACTGGGGTGAAGGTTCAGCTTCCAACAGGACAACGACCCTAAGCACACAGCCAAGACAACGCAGGAGTGGTTTCGGGACAAGTCTCTGAATGTCCTTGAGTGGCCCAGCCAGAGCCCGGACTTGAACCCGATCAAACATCTCTGGAGAGACCTGAAAATAGCTGTGCAGCAACGCTCCCCATCCAACCTGACAGAGCTTGAGAGGATCTGCAGAGAAGAATGGGAGAAACTCCCCAAATACAGGTGTGCTAAGCTTGTAGCGTCATACCCAAGAGGACTAGAGGCTGCCAAAGGTGCTTCAACAAAGTACTGAGTAAAGGGTCTGAATACTTAAGTAAATATATATATATATATATATATTTTATTTTTTTAAATTAGCAAACATTTCTACAAACCTGTTTTTGCTTTGTCATTATGGGGTATTGTGTGTAGATTGATGAGAGAAAAAAAAAACAATTTAATCAATTTTAGAATAAGGCTGTAACGTAACAAAATGTGGAAAAAGTCAAGGGGTCTGAATACTTTCCGAATGCACTGTATATCAGCTCATAAAACATAGGCCTATTTGGGAGCAGTATAATGGTGAGTGGACATTCTCCCTTTCTATGTATATTGGATCTTTATCCAGCTACTGTGAAAAGTTTGGATGTGCGTAAAACCCTAAATAGTCTGCGTTGTTTTCATATTATATGCCCAAAGGGGGAAATGATGGTGCCAGTAAGTATGACATAGCCTATTTAAAACAAGTTGTTGTTTCGTTTTGTTTACAATTTGATTAGAATTATTAGTTCTATTTTTAGGCCTTTTCAATAATTAATTTAATCTTGCTTATTGACAATGTTTTGCATGTCCATGTTCAGCCATAATACAATTTACAATAGGCCTAGCCCCTATATCAGTGTGTATGCTATTGAAGCCATACAATTAGTTAGAACAATGTGGACTGCAAATGGGTTAACGAATTTAGCAAAGACAGGTCTACATTTTGTTATTACGTTTCTGTAAGCCATTTACCAAACTATAACGGACTAACATTGGAATTGGAGTTGATTCCAAGGCAATACATAAAAGACCGTAAATACACAACTTGATGCAACCACATATTTCGCCATGGAGCATGTTCTGATTGGCCAGTGAGAGGCCAAGCCTCCACACACCCACAACTTGTTAATTAATCAAAACCCTGCCCTTTCGCAGCAACGCCAGCAAGTGCGCTGATAATTGTGATAGTGAAAATAGCAAAAATATTTCTGACACGACCCTGAACCTATAACGTTACCGCCTGTGCTTAGATTTACCACTGCGTTAGGTTTGTTCAAGTAGAGCCCTATGTCTCTGGCTCAGCGGTACAAGCCATATCAATCATTGTAACCAGAGTACAGGTCACATCATACCCTAGCAACATTCCTGAATGATTACTTACTCACACGATATTCACACTAATACACAAATACATGATATATCTTGGGTTAGTTACCAGTATCTTTGGTTTTACTCTTGTAGAAGCTTTAGTCTCTCAGGTCATCACAGTCCATGATGTTGTGAACGTTCCAAATGACACCGCTGTGGACACTATCACCATCACTCTCTATCACACTCCATGAGCTGCTGCTGCTGCAGTCCCTATCACAGCCATAGCCGCGGGAAGATATGTGGGGGTGAAAAAATGTTTTTTTGCCCGCGCTACAGACAGCTGTATCGGTCCACTAATAAAGGACTAGTAAAGGCCCAGTGCATGACTTTTGTGAAAAAATTAAATGTGGAAAAATAAGAATAACTTGCCTGCGCTACAGACAGATATATCGGTCAGCTAATACAGTACTAGTAAAGGCCCAGTGCAGTACTTTTGAGAAGAAAAAAAATATTTATATAAAAAATATATATTTATTTAGATTTTTCAGGGGGTGCTGCAGCACACTCAGCACCCCTACTTCTTGTGGCTATGATCACAGCCATCTCCATGTCCCTCCAGTGGCTGGGGGTAATTGTGGCCGGCTCAGTAAATAAGAGAACTGATAATGCTCTAAATAACAAAACTGATAGTGATAATTATGCTGATAATGCTGTGCTCCACTGCAGGCTGAGCGGCATTTGAAACCCCTCTAACTGCAGATAATGAGGTCAGTGTAGTGCCAGGACAATGACCTCTCCCTTAATGTCAGCAATAAAAAGGAGCTGATCGCGGACTACAGGACAGGGCTGTAGTGGAGCGGGTCGAGAGCTTCAAGTTCATCTGTGTCCACATCACTAAGGAATTAACAGTTGTGAAGAAAGCACGACATCGCCTCTTCCCCCTCAGGAGGCCGAAAAGATTTGACATGGGCCCTCAGATCCTCAAAATGTTATACAACCGCACCATTGAGAGCATCTTGTGGTCCTCTGTAGCTCATCTGGTAGAGCACGGCACTTGTAACGCCAAGGTAGTGGGTTCGAAAAATGTATGCACGCATGACTGTAAGTCGCTTTGGATAAAAGCGTCTGCTAAATGGCATATTATTATTTATATTTATCTTAACTGGCTGCATCACGCTTGGTATAGCAAGTGTTTACGGCCCAGTACATCACTGGGGCCGAGCTCCCCGCCATCCAGGACCTCTATACCAGGCGGTGTCAGAGGAAGACCCAAATTATTGCCACCCAAGTCATAGACTGTTCTCTCTGCTACCGCACGGCAAGCGGTACTGATGCACCAAGTCTGGAACCAACAGGACCCTGAACAGCTTCTACCCCTCAGCCATAAGACTGCTAAATAGTTAACCAAATAGCTACCTGGACTATCTGCATTGACCCTTTTTGCACCAACTCTTTTGACTCATCACATACGCTTCTGCTACTGTTTATTATCTATCCTGTTGCCTTGTCACTTTACCCCTACCTATATGTATATATCTACCTCAATTACCTCGTACCCCTGCACATCGACTCGGTACTGGTACCCTGTGTACAGTTGAAGTCGGAAGTTTACATACACCTTAGCCAAATACATTTAAACTCAGTTTTTCACAATTCCTGACATTTAATACTAGTATAAATTCCCAGTCTTAGGTCAGTTAGGAGCACAACTTTATTTTAAGAATGTGAAATGTCAGAACAATAGTAGAGATAATTATTTCTTTCAGCTTTTATTTCTTTCATCACATTCCCAGTGGGTCAGAAGTTTACATACACTCAATTAGTATTTGGTAGCATTATCTTTAAATTGTTTAACTTGGGTCAAACGTTTCGGGTAGCCTTCCACAAGCTTCCCACAATAAGTTGGGTGAATTTTGGCCCATTCCTCCTGACAGAGCTGGTGTAACTGAGTCAGGTTTGTAGGCCTCCTTGCTCGCACATGCTTTTTCAGTTCTGCCCACAAATGTTCTATAGGATTGAGGTCAGGGCTTTGTGACGGCCACTCCAATACCTTGACTTTGTTGTCCTTAAGCCATTTTGCCACAACTTTGGAAGTATGCTTGGGGTCATTGTCCATTTGGAAGACCCATTTGCGACCAAGCTTTAACTTCCTGACTGATGTCTTGAGATGGTGCTTCAATATATCCACATAATTTCCCTTCCTCATGATGCCATCTATTTTGTGAAGTGCACCAGTCTCTCCTGCAGCAAAGCACCCCCACAGCATGATGCTGCCACCTCCGTGCTTCACGGTTGGGATGTTGTTCTTCGGCTTGCAAGGACCCCCTTTTTCCTCCAAACATAACGATGGTCATTATGGCCAAACAGTTCTATTTTTGTTTCATCAGACCAGAGGACATTTCTCCAAAAAGTACGATCTTTGTTCGCATGTGCAATTGCAAATCGTAGTCTGGCTTTTTTATGCTGTTGTTCTGGGATTGATTTGCACTTTTTGCATCTAAGTACTTTCATTTCTAGGAGACAGAACGCATCTCCTTCCTGAGCGGTACGACGGCTGCGTGGTCCCATGGTGTTTATACTTGTGTACTATTGTTTGTACAGATTAACGTGGTACCTTCAGACGTTTGGAAATGTCTCCCAAGAATGAACCAGACTTGTGGAGGTCTACAGAAATTGTTCTGAGGTCTTGGCTGATTTCTTTTGATTTTCCCATGATGTCAAGCAAAGAGGCACTGAGTTTGAAGGTAGGCCTTGAAATACATCCACAGGTACACCTCCAATTGACTCAAATGATGTCAATTAGCCTATCAGAAGCTTCTAAAGCCATGACATCATTTTCTGGAATTTTCCAAGCTGTTTAAAGGCACAGTCGGCAAGCGGTACTGTCAACTTAGTGTATGTAAACTTCTGACCCACTGGAATTGTGATACAGTGAATTATAAGTGATATAATCTGTCTGAAAACAATTGTTGGAAAAATTGCTTGTGTCATGCACAAAGTAGATGTCCTAACCGACTTGCCAAAACTATAGTTTGTTAACAAGACATTTGTGGAGTGGTTGAAAAACGAGTTTTAATGACTTCAACCTAAGTATATGTAAAATTCCGACTTCAACTGTATATAGCCCAGTTATCGTTACTCATTGTGTATTTATTCATTGTGTTATAATATTTTAAATTTTATTTATTCTATTTTTCACTCTGCATTGTTGGGAAGGACCCGTAAGTAAGCATTTCACTGTTAGTGTACACCTGTTGTTTACGAAGCATGTGACAAATACAATTTTATTTTATTTGAGCTGAGGGAACAGTGGGGAGAGATGAGATCACAAAGGTCCTTTTGCTTCCTGGTTCGTTAGCAATCGTAACGGTGGCAATGCGCCAACGAGTGTTTGTCGTCTGTTTGTGCTCTCTTTATCACAAATAAATGTTCTAGGTCTTGCTCTCTCTCTCTCTCTCTCTGTCTCTCAGAGGGGCGGTTCGGCGTATAACTGCGGGCAGCTGCGAGTGGGTCAGGTGATCCTGGAGGTAAACGGGGTTTCCCTGAGGGGCCGGGAGCACAGGGACGCAGCGCGCCTCATCGCCGAGGCTTTCAAGACCAAAGAGCGGGACCACATGGATTTCCTGGTCACAGAGTTCAACGTGGCGCTGTAGGAGGAAGTAGAGGAAGAAGAGAAAGAGAGAGAGACTTATCATGGAGGAAGGAGGGAGGAGGGACAGTGGCGGCAGAGCTGGAGAGGATAGGGGGCGGCTGTTGGGGAAAAGCAGCATAGGCCGGCATACTGTTCTGTACATGGGTTCATCTACCAACTATCACTTTATCTGGTCACTCGGCCTCATCATCCTCAACATCCTCCAGCTTTAGCCCCAAAACAAGACACGGACACAGTTGCACTCTAAGTTGAGAAGTTGCCATGAGATTTTTCCCATGGATCATGGACTTCCACCATCCTTGTAACCTTGGTTTTTAGGATACTCCCTGCAGCAGTCACCTCTCTGGACACCTTACTCTATGTGTTTATGGCAATCTCATGTACTGTCACTCTATCTGTGTTGGCTAGTGGCTACATCCTGTGGATCTCAAATTGATTCTTGGACAATGACGCCATCAGCAACAGAGCTCTAGCAGAAGATATGTTCCTGAAGCGGTCAGTTAGCGGTCAGTGTCTACTAACCTGCGTCAGTCTGAGAGACGACAGCACACGCAAGAGACACAGGCTGTGTCGCAAATAGCACCCTATTCCAATATAGTGCCCTACATTTGACCAGATCTCTATGGGCCCTGGTCAAAAGTAGTGCACTAAATAGGGAATACGGTGGGACGCAGGCCAGCCTTCCATCCAGAAAATGGGAAGAGGCAGGAGGAAACACCATTTTCCAATGACAGTTTGTTTTTGTAAATGTACAAATGTAGATACTATACAATATATACATAAAGATAATCTATTAATTATAAAAACCTAATATCTTACATGCTTAAAAAGTAGAATACTTCAAAGTATACTGTTAAGTCCCTTAATCGCTCCGCTTTTCTGCAAATGTGTCCCCAAGTGAAAAGTAATGGAGATGAATGTGTTTTAATTGCCTTCTCTGGTAGTGCTAGTCAGCCGTACTGGTTGTGTTTACACAGGGGGCTTGCAGGGGCCTGCGTCACACAGTAATTACTATGCCTAAGAGGTAGTAAAGAGGAATTTGGAAAAAGAAACTGCTGCAGAAGCTCTCTCTGATACACACTCCCAGAATACACACGTGGCCCAGCACACACACGCATGCATGCCATCTTACCACACACACACACACACATACACGCAGGCATGCCATCTTACCACACACACACACACACATACACGCAGGCATGCCATCTTACCACACACACACACACACACGCAGGCATGCCATCTTACCACACAAACACACACACACATACACGCAGGCATGCCATCTTACCACACACACACACACACACATACACACAGGCATGGCATCTTACCACACAAACACACACAGGCAGGCAGAAGTCACTACAGGATTGGTGGAAAGCTGATGCTAATCCAGAGAATTTGAAGAAGCACTTTATCCAACAATGGAACAGGTATGAGGAGCAAGTCATGCCAATCAGGAAGAGGAAGAGGAAGAGGAAGAGGAAGAGGAAGAGGAAGAGAGAGACAGAGACAGAGAGAGACAGAGAGAGAGAGAGAGAGAGAGAGAGAGAGAGAGAGAGAGAGAGAGAGAGAGAGAGAGAGACAGAGAGAGAGAACTGAGAAATGCAGTAGTTGTTGTGGAGGATTATTTTGTTTCCTCTCTGGGGGGGAGACGGGGTGTGTGAGGGAGGGGGAGAGAGGGGTTGAGTGAGGGAGGGGGAGAGAGCGGTTGAGTGAGGGGGGGGGGGGGGGGGGGGTAGTGAAGCGGTACAGGGGGACATCCAAACCACTGATGTGTCATTCAGGAGAGTTTTAGCATTATAGTGGAGGAGAACAAATAGAGCGATCGAGAGACGGACAGGTAGAGAGAGGTTATTGTTGTAGCAACAATAACCATCAAGTTTAAGTCAGGTTTCTCTTGATGCTCATTTACATACAAGTGATTTGTTCACCCCATTCAGATAATAGAGATTTTCCATCATTTCAATCATTGTATATTTATCTAGCATCCCAAATGGCACCCTATTCCTATAGTTCACTACTTTTGACCAGGTCCGTTAGGGCTCTAGTCAAATGAAGTGCACTATGTAGAGAATAGGGTGCCATTTGGGACGCAATCTTATTCTGTATGCATACTTAGGGTATGAGACACAATCATGAGAAGACTGTGCCCTTTTCCCTGCCAATGCCACCTCAAATGCTTAACATTCAGCGTGTGTGTGTGGGAGTGTGTGAGTGTGTCCTACTCCTATCCACAAGGCAGTCACTATTAAACACCGCTATCTGGGAGGAATCACACAGCTTCAGAGATGGTGGCTTTTTGTTATCTGAGCCGTGCCTTTACACTGTGTATATGATACAGACAGCCCTTCAGAGAGAGGGATGAGAGGAAGGTGTACTGTGTCTAACGTTGTTTCTACATTGTTGCGCTGGAGATGGGCAGAGAACGCAGAGCAAGGATCAGATAGCGAGAGAGGTTGACCTGATGCAGGAGGGAGGGAAAGGCATACACACACAAACACATTACACACAAACAAACACTCACACACTGGTCAATCCATGTTCTGCTTCTAACATGCTCTGAGACATTGCGTAATGTCTTCAATGCACTTTCTTTTTGTACACACTGACAGGCATGAATCCACACAAAGGGACTCTTTCAAACACAGATATCATCCGTGTCTTGAAATGTCCCAAACACTCTTAGTAACACAGGAACTACACCACAGAAATGTGATTATATTATAGCCATACAATCAGTTGTCTACTCTGATGCCATGAAATTCAACCATGCCCAAGCATCCTACGTAAATTGTCTCCCCACGTCATATTGGGCTTTGAGGAATTCACAAAAGTAAAAACAAAATGTATTGGGATTACTTATTATTACTGACCCTGGATCTCATGTTAATAACAGTCTGGCTTTCTCTTTAACCCATATTACAGAGTCATTCAGAGGGGAAGAGATGATAGAAGGAATCCGTCCAATCCAATGACAGGGTGATTAATCAGAGAATATGATGGAGAGGCAGGTGTCCTGTTTGTGGCATGGACTGGGAAGACAATTGGCAACAACATAAATGTGGGCTCTGTCCCAAATGGAACCCTGCTCAGTATATAGTGCACTACTTTTGACGAGGGCCCATAAGGTGCTGGTCAAAATCAGTGCACTATATACAGTGCATTCTGAAAATATTCAGACCTTATTCTAAAATGGATTCAATTGTTTTTTCCCCCTCATCAATCTACACACAATTCCCCATTATGACAAAGCAAAAACAGGTTTTTCTGAATTTTTGCAAATTGGAAATATTACATTTACATAAGTATTCAGACCCTTTACTCAGTACTTAGTTGAAGCACCTTTGGCAGTGATTACAGCCTCGAGTCATCTTGGGTATGACGCTACAAGCTTGGCACACCTGTATTTAGGGAGTTTCTCCCATTCTTCTCTGCAGATCCTCTTAAGCTCTGTCAGGTTGGATGGGGAGCGTCGCTGCACGGCTATTTTCAGGTCTCTCCAGAGATGTTCAATCTGGTTCTAGTCCTGGCTCTGGCTTGTCCCGAAGCCACTCCTGCATTATCTTAGCTGTGTGCTTAGGGTCGTTGTCCTGTTGGAAGGTGAACCTTCGCCCAGTCCGAGGTCCTGAGCACTCTGGAGTAGGCTTTCATTAAGGATCTCTCTGTACTTTGCTCCGTTCATATTTTCCTCGATCCTGGCTAGTCTCCCAGTCCCTGAAAACATCCCCACAGCATGATGCTTTCACCACCATGCTTCACCATAGGGATGGTACCAGGTTTCCTCCATTCAGGCCAAAGAGTTCAATCTTGGTTTCATCAGACCAGAGAATCTTGTTTCTCATGGTCTGAGAGTCCTTTAGGTGCCTATTTGGCAAACTCCAAGCGGGCTGTCATCTGTCTTTTACTGAGGAGTGGCTTCCGTCTGGCCACTCTACCATAAAGGCCTGATTGGTGGAGTGCTACATAGATGGTTGTCCTTCTGGAAGGTTCTTCCATCTCCACAGAGGAACTCTGGAGCTCTGTCAGAGTGACCATCGGGTTCTTGGTCACCTCCCTGACCAAGGCCAGCTCTAGGAAGAGTCTTGGTGGTTCCAAACTTCTTCCATTTAAGAATGATGGAGGCCACTGTGTTCTTGGAGACCTTCAATGCTGCAGAAATTTTTTGGTACCCTTCCCCAGATCTGTTCCTCGACACAATCCTGTCTCTGAGCTCTACGGACATTTCCTTCGATCTCATGGCTTGGTTTTTGCTCTGACATGCACTGTCAACTGTGGGACCTTATATAGAGAGGTGTGTACCTTTCCAAATCATGTCCAATCAATTGAATTTACCACAGGTGGACTCCAATCAAGTTGTAGAAACATCTAAAGGATGATCAATGGAAACAGGATGCACCTGAGCTCAATTTCGAGTCTCATAGCAAAGGGTCTGAATACTTATGTAAATAAGGTATTTCTGTTATTTATTTTTAATACATTTGCAAAGATTTCTACAAACCTGTTTTCGTTTTGTCATTATGGGGTATTGTGTGTAAATTGATGAGGAAAAAACTGTATTTAATCCATTTTAGAATAAGGCTGTAACGTAACAAAATGTGGAAAAGGGGAAGGGGTCTGAAAACTTTCAGAATGTGCTGTATAGGGAATAGGTTGCCATTTTGGATGCAGCCGTAGACTGGTCATTCTAATGTATCTCTCCCCTCTGCTCATACACTACATGGCCAAAAGTATCCTAGTCAAACATCTCATTCCGAAATCATGGGCATTAATATGGAGTTGGTCCCCCCTTTGCTGCCTCCACTCTTCTTGGAAGGCTTTCCACTAGATGTTGGAACATTGCTGCAGGGACTTGCTTCCATTTAGCCACAAGAGCATTAGTGAGGTCGGGCACTGATGTTGGGCGATTAGGCCTGGCTCGCAGTCGGAATTCCAATTCATCCCAAAGGTGTTCGATGGGGTTGAGGTCAGGGTTTTGTGCATGCCAGTCAAGTT